GTAAAGACGATTTCAAAAATTTTGTCTCCTGGATGGCCAACCTCAGATCCGCCCTTGGCAAGAAGGGACTGAGTGTAACCCTGCCGTCAAGTTACTGGTATTTACAACATTTTGACATCAAGGCTCTTGAGAACTCTGTGGATTGGTTCAATATGATGCTTTACGATCTGCACGGCACATGGGATCTCAAGAGCAAATGGACAGGACCTTTTGTCAATGCCCACACAAATCTTACTGAAATCCAGGATTCTCTGGATCTCTTGTGGCGTAACGACATCAACCCTGATAAAGTGGTATTCGGTATGGGCTTTTATGGTCGAAGTTTTACCTTGCAGAATCCGGGATGCTCAACACCAGGGTGCCTTTTTGCTTCAGGCGGTAATGCCGGACGGTGCTCCAACACCGTAGGGGTCCTTCTCAATAGTGAGATTCAAGACTTGATTGCAAGTAAAAACCTAAAACCAACACTTCTCGAGAAGGAAGCAGTCAAAACTTTAACCTGGGACTCGACCCAGTGGGTGTCTTTTGACGATGAGGACACCTTCAAGATCAAGGCAGACCTCGCCAAGTCCCAGTGCATCAATAACATTATGGTATGGGCTGTAAGCCACGACGATCGCAATGGAACTTTTGCCCAAGCACTCACAAAAGCGGTCGGGCGACAAGTTATGGCTCCACCGAACATTGCTCCCGAGCCCGTGGAAAATCCCCCAAAAGAGATCAAGGCATGCAGATGGTCAAACTGCGGTGAGCAATGTCCAACGGGATTTAAGAATGTCAATTGGAATGGCACCACCAACAACTTGGAAGACAGCACAGGCTGTTCTTATAATCAAACCCCGCATCAATGGTGTTGCCCATCAGACACCGAACAACCTACTTGCACCTGGCGAGGCATTCGAAAAGCCGGAGCATGCAGACCTGGCTGTAACGAGGGTGAAACCGAAGTGGGAACATCAACAGCCGGGTGTTCTTCCAAGCATCAAAGCGTGTGCTGTACTGTCAACACGGCCACTTCGCCCTACGAAAAGTGTAAGTGGTTTGGAGAAAGCTCTCTATGCTCAGGCGCTGGCGGATACAAAGCTTGCGAGGGTGACTGGCCTGTCCGTATTGTCTCGGCATCAATGGGCGCTGGTGGAGAGCAGCCATGTGGTCGCGGAGCAAAGAGTTACTGTTGTAAGGAGCTTCCTGATGCATTCACCGACTGTGATTGGTATAAAAGGGAGGGGTCTCCGAGCCAGGCGAATCCGATATATTGTGAGACTTCTTGTCCGAAGGATTCAGTCCGCTTATCCATGCAAAAAGGTAGCGGTTGCGATTGGGGAGGCATGCAAGCATTTTGCTGCAAAGGCAAGAAGCCAACCACGATCACTCCACGAGATCCGAGTTGGGGGAACAATCAATACAAGGAATATGAAGGGCTACTTCTGGCCTGGGCGAAGAATCCTTCGTGTCCAGCGGTTTCGGAAGCAATCGATGGAGCTGATTATTACAGTGACACCCCAGTAAAGCGCGATTTATTTCGTCGCGAAGATTGCAGCGCCAGCGACTTCGACAAGTTGGTAAACTGGATTGTTACCCTCCTGAAATATCCATCCAGCGTCCCTGATGGCATCAAGTATGGCTGGGACACCATCATGGCCAAATTCGACAGCACCACGGACACGCTTGGTTTCGACAGCCTAAGCAAAATAGTCGCAACGAACGACTTCGAAGCCAGAGGACTGATATCTGACGTGCTTTTAGATCCTTATGCAGCCCAGAGAAATTTTTGGAATTTCAAGGATGCACAAGAAACATTGTGCCGAGCTGGTTCCTCGTTCTCAAAGCGTGATCTTGAGGACGACTTGTTTAACAGAGAAAATCTCGGCGAATTTGAGAAACGGAGAATCATTCCATCGGGCGCAGGTAGTGGCCCAAATCGTGCCTACGATCCCAATGGGCGAGCTGGCTGGATGGCTGCTCGTAATTATCTCCCCGATGCAGCAACAATTCTTGACGGCATTGCCCGCGGCGATGTGGTGCTTGTCTATGCCCGATACCAACGCTGGCATGGCAATGCAGAAGTATTCTTAGAACTCGCCTACCAGTAAGTCAAGTTTCTCAACATTTCCATATTGAGTTGATTTTCATAGTTAATCTCCCCCAGTATTGGGCCACCTAATCAACACAACGCTGGTGGCATCTTCGACCGCTATCGAGATTTAAACACATTCCGCATCATCCGTGGACAACCGGCACGCATCCTCAACAACGGTGCTGCAGCACCGGAAGATGACTGGATAGTTGCGCATATCCATTTCGACCACACTAGGCCAGATTTGTTCATAAGAGATCAAGCGGGCCAAGTCTTCATCGGCACTCCATCCGTTCGCCTCTTCCACGGTCAGACGGTTATTAATTCAAACTACCATTACGGTGAACGGAGAGTAGATGGCAGGCACACAGGCGGCGCTAGTGGGGGAACAAACTACGCGAACAACAGAAGTCCTCTCATCACTTGTCCCGCAAACCAACTCTTCTATTTAGGCTGGAACAACCCGGCCGTACCTTTTCCAAATCCCCCGGCCGTGCTCACATGGTCGCACATCTTGCACAACTGGGCCGCGAACCTATACCAGAACAACATCATCAACCCGTGGGGACTGGTGAGGTCGGGCGTCTGGGCGCAACCAGGAACGACTATCAACAACGCGAATGACATGTTCCGCATCGGTCCCAACATTCCGCTGCCACAGCCCGTTGTGGTTCCTGGCCTTAGGAATAGTGGTCGCAACGACCCAACTAATTTCAACTGGATCTGGGATCCGGCCACACAGCAGTGGGTGTGGAATGTATACCCGATATAGTCGAAGTTGATCAAACGTGAAGCTTTCAATAGTGGTGAATGAGTAATATTCGCACGATTACTTTGTACCAACAGAACGAGATTTAGATTCTGGGAAAAGCGAATATGTTGTGGCTTGGGACAGTGTCATGTGGTCGGTACAGATCACTGGATAATTTACATCAGCGAAGACGGATGCAAACGTACTTAGTGTCCGCTCATGTAGAAGGCTATTGCTTGAACTGGTATCTGTTTATGTATCTTATCTCAGGGTTCGTAAGCATGTACCATATTAGTGTCAGAAAAATTGGCAGATCTTTATCATCTCCAGTACAAAACGGGACAAGCTGGCAAGGACGTGACTTTGAGCAGACTGGACATTGCACACAGATGACGATAAACGCGAACAAAATGACTCAGTTTCTTCTGTTGGCAGTACACCCAATCACATTTGTCAGCAGTGGTCAGTCAATTCCCAAGTTTACTAAAGCAAGGTACGAATCAGATTTAAGTCCGCCCCGTAATGATAGGTGCAATGTAGTGCTATCTATGATGCTATTTCCTCGTTTTCTCTTCATATTGTACTCCTCAAGATGGGCAATTCTTGTAAATCACTTCTTCTGCTGCTCCTCCATCACATCATCCTTGAAAATCCAGATCTTCTTGTTGAACTTTAGTAACTTTCCGGGGAGTTCTACCTATTCCCTTTAGCTCTCGTCGCGTTGCAACCTGACGCCAACTCAAAAGGCCAAAGCAAGAGACCTTCGTTTCTTGCCGTCCACAACCACGAACTTACCTAAGTGTAGTATGGAAACAACCGCATTTGACGAAGGCGAGCCCCAAACGGCGCCATAGAATGAGATTCCGCATGCTCCTGCAGGATCCTTCATATTGCCATGAGGCTGGCGCGTCTCGGAGTTGCACAAGGGTGGACTTCGCCGCAGCCCGATTTTATCCTCGATCCTTAGCTTTTGCGAGAGCCGAAACCCCTCAACATAGCCTCAGCCTTGGGGTAGCAATTACCTCTTTTCTCTTCGCATATACGCCTAATGCCGACCTGGCCGCCCACTACCAACATCAAAGTCAACCTAGGCGCTTTCAGTCAACAGCAGGGAGGCTCTACTCTTTTTTTTATCAACTAGCTCATCGTGAAGGGTTTATGAGCCTCGTCTCGCTCTTGTAGATATCAAAGGCTGTTCACATCTACCGACAGTGCTACCCATATCCCCATGGACCCCGTATCAGCTGTAGCGAGTCTTCTCACCGTGCCCGGAGCCGCAGGTGGCTCGGTGAAACTTTTTGTTGGAACGATGTAGTGTGTGAGCATTGGAATTCAAAAGAAAAGTGAAAGTATCGAGTTCCGCTCAAATACAAATTCCTTTGATCTTCTACTGCCATACTCTGGTAGTGTAAAGTCTAAAGATTATCTTCATGTCTAGTGGCCTATACCTGATCCACAGTGGCTACCGAAGAAAGAACCCATGCGATCCCGAAGTTGCTGCCATTGGACGCTTCTCCAAGAAGACTTGCCCGACTGAAGAAGAGCTTGAACCGTTCCTCCACTTGGGTAAAGTATCTACGAATGATTCCCCATGCCTCAAGTTGTGCAGGACCTTCCTCTGCCGTTCTCCGCCTTTTCGCCGAAAATGCCGAGGACCCATTGAACTCGACCAGCGTCTCCACTGTGCCTTTTGAGAAATTGAATATCAGGTCTACCAACGTAGCATACTTCTTGTCAGTTGGGGGGAGCATGAAGCCTGCGCAGATGACAAGGCAGACATCGTGGATTATTGATGGCATGAGGAGTTTCGCACTCAGCAAATTTTCCTGAAAAGTGACTAAGAAGAAAAAGTGCATGTTACCACTCACATATCAATAGTTAATCAAATATTGCCATATTATTCCTAGGAATTAGAGGTAAACCTGTTTATTCTTCCCCCTGCATCGTATGCCATATCAACGAGCCTCGTATTCCAAAAGTTGGACTAGTTGGTCCCACATGAACTAAGCGGCCGCACAAACTAAAATTCAGAGGGCCCAATTTTCCGATCTGCCAAATTGCCTCAAACCTTCACCGACACTTGCAGAGTCTGCAGCTTGCTGTCAGGATACTGGAATTGAACTGAGTACATATTTTGACTAAGTCTGAAAACTTTCATCAATCAAATCAGCCGCATCGGTGGTTTAGTGGTAAAATTAGCCGTTGCCATTGGCTCTTCAAGAGTCTGTCAATTCGGCTAGCCCCGGGTTCGATTCCCGGCCGATGCAATTCATCTTTTTTTGCAGTTTTGGTGTGCTGGGGTGAAGGTGGTGGAGGTTGTGGCGGCGGAGAAGGGTTTTTGGTGGAACGTTGGAAGTACGTGGTCTTTTTGGATCAAGGAACTTCATGTTTCTAGTCTGGTTACGTTCTTGAAGTCATTGCACACTGAAGGCAATAGTCGTAAGTCAGGATGCATACTTCTCTTCTGCTTTTCTTTGTGACCAACGCTGTTTTTGCTGCACGATCATGGATGATTCTGTTTCTTTTTGACATTCGCTATGTTTTCTCTACGACCGTTCAGCAACTTTGAGAAACTAGCAGGCAAACAATTAGCGAGGGCGATGTGGCAGATGCAATTGTACAGGGGCGAAATCTCTGCAACCTGTTTGTGGCTTGAGATAGATTCCATGCGCCAGAGTCTTGCAAACACTGATCGAGAGGACTTTCAAATACACAAAGTAGCAGCATCTTGGATTTTTAGGTGTTGGATGATGATTGGAATCAACTTGATGCAATTTTTGCGCAACTTCATGATTGGTTGATCTAGTGCATCATGCAAAGGCTATGGCGATCATACCTGTCGAATACAGCGAAAAAGACAATTCACATTTGATTTTCTCATATTGCTGCGCCTATAAAGATGTAGTCTCAGAGAAGATACGTGATCACCTGTGTGTTTGATGCAAGGCGCAAGCAACATTCCCGATCCATCCGACCCAACACACATCTCGCGCGATGCTACAACATATTACTGGATTAGTCGAAACATCGCCCTAAAAGGGATGATCATGCGAAAATGAAAGTCACCGGTAATTATATTATACTGCCAGGATGATTTGCTCCATTCGCCTGTCGTGGCATTTGTGTTGTGGGGGCGGAGACCGGGCAGGCAAACTACTGGATTGATATGCACATCATATCATCTTCCGGCTGGCTATGCATATGTATAGTAGTATGCACAGAGTCAGCCTTGGCTGTTGGGACAACCTCAAATACATCCGGGGTACTACATTAGACGATCGTTCGCCTCCTCCACCTTCAGCCTTGCCTCTTTGAGATGCCTCGCGAAGCACGCGAACTCGAAACTCGAAACCCAGTACGGAATTTACCTAAATTGACGCCGATATGTGTCAAGCGGCCAGGAAAACCGTGTCATAAGAATGCGACCGCCAAAACGAACCCTGAGCGGTCACCGAAACACACCAAATGTCCCCCGATATTGTCCAGTTGGTGGTCGTGGGCACGACAACGTTTGACGCTCTTGCTGATGCTACTATTCAATTTTTCTGGTGAGTTTAGTGTCTATCTATAAGAAGAATCATTCACGTTTTTTTTTAGCTCTTACTATTGCTATCGGTCATGGCCTCCTGTTTATGTACCTCGACGGACTGACCACAGACGGGCGGAATATAAAACAGTCCTATGTCACCAATATCTCTCTACTCTTCGTAACTGCTTTCAAAGAATGCATAGTGGCGGCCGTTGGGCTATCTTTTACGCAACATCTGTGGAGTGTGCTTCGACACCAGACTCTCCCCGTCGGACGTATAGAGCAACTGTTTTCGATCCGATCGAATCCTGTCCAGTTAACCAAATTCCGACTCATCATCAATGCTCCAATGCTGTTTCTGATGGGGATATTCGTGTGGCTCGTGCCAATTGCTGCCATTTACCCTCCGTCCGCTCTTACAGTAACATCGCGACCATATAATTTGACAGGTGATGCTGACGTTCCGATACTATATCCTCCGTCACCTAGCGTTGGTGGGAAAACTGATAGATTTCCTGCCCCTCGGCTTAGCCGTATCGGATGGAGTTATGATCCATTCGAACGTAAGGTATATTCGAGATATTAGTAAGTTACATTAGACTGCCGTAGTACGCTAGCGCATATTGATACTCTTCTTCTAGTAAAGCGACGGATGCGTTGCTCGGTATCGCTAGAACAACTTTGCTATCTGGAGAGATAGCTCAGATTCAAACTCCAGATCGTGAGAATGCATCATACACCCTTGAGTTCCCTGGTTATCGCGTGGCCTGTATCAGCAACGTTACAAACATCACGAAGGATGCTTTCTATGGCCATGATGGTGGCAGTGGTATCATTCCTTTCGATGCTCACTGGAGTAGCGTAGACGCATCTTTTAATGATTCAGATCCGACGTTTGTCATGCGATACTTCGATCGACTTGAAGTCACCATTGAAGGCGCAATGCAAACCAATGGCTCTGATGGTTCCATCGTGGAGGTAACATCTGGACGAAACATATGGGATCTTAATCCATTCGAAATATGGAACCCAAATGTTACGTACAAGGGCCAGTATCACATAACAACGTGTCGTCCCCTTGCGGAGCTGTTCGTAGTGGATGTTTCTTATGAACGATCAAAGCGACAAATCAAATACACGACACGAGACTATCAAGGGCCAAAGCCAAATTATTACCCAGAGTACGCTCCTGATGAGAGTGAGCTCGAATTCTGGAAAGGCTCCTCGAACAAGACTATAAGCTTTCCTCCGGCGCTTGAACAAATTTTGCAAAATTGGGAGAAATGGGGAATACTAGATGCGTCGCTCGGCGCCTTGGAATACAGCTGTAGACTCAATAGTTTTTCCGCTGAACGTTCGAAAAATGGCGCCTTGACCTGGGAAACGTATGGTTGTGGTGGAGCCAGTAAGTCGATCTTCTCCCATCATGTCGATTCTCCAAGCTCACCCGATTACATAATGGAATCGCAGTCGTTCATATCAAGTGCTACTGGATCTGTCCACGTTCAATACACAACGCTTCAACGAGATTGCAAGCGAAGAGTACGAGCCTATGAACTACACTATCAACGAGCAGACCATAAACGAATATATTGCGAACGTCACCATATCTGCTATGTCGCTCAATCTCGGTAAAGCAAAAGTTCCAATCAATTACACCGAATATCGCACAACCTACCATTTCTCTAGGCCAGTCAACCTCATCGTACCTTACTCACTCTTATTCTTGTTCAGTACAATATCCGTAGTCTTCGGGATTCTGTCCTTAAACAGGAATGGAGCCGCAGCAACCGACGGCGGGTTCCTGCAAATTATGACTACGAATGTTGGGCGAACAAAAGCCGAAGATTTGATTACGGAGCATTACATTAGCCACAACGGAGACAATGTACCAGATGTATTGTTAGATTTGAAGATCCGCTACGGCGAGTTGATTGATGAGAGTGGCGTTGGGAAGGGGATTGCAGGGTTTGGCACTGAGGAAGAAACGAGGATGCTGAAGAAAGGGCAGTCGTTGAAGTAATTGGGTCATAAAAGGATCAGTAATACGGCATAGAAATGTAATGGAAATTCGTGCTGGCACTTTTGGAGAGGGCGCACCTCAGGCGACCCAGAGAAAACCTTGAGTCAATCACCCAGGCGCCAAGCTTACCTTTGAAAAGTTGAGCAGACTACTAAATATCTCATCTTACTACCAGATTCCTCGTCTTACTACAGATTCTATCAGTAGATGAACATGATCTAACATAATCTGAATACGTTCATAACCACGTCGTGACATCATAGTAGTCAGGCTAGGAATGAGTACGACATGGATCAAAAGAGTCTATGTCTCCTACTAGAAGGATGAAACTACCGTCGAACAGGGGCTGCATTAGCGTTAATGACCAGCTCAGTTTCTCTAGTAGTAGCCCGAACTGTTTGCACTACTTTTGGATTCCCGTAGCTGTATTTTCTCAAGAAGCACTCAGCAAGCTGGAGGTAAAAAATACCCTCGCAAGTAAATCTCCTGCTGACCTTCTCCTTCGGTTGTTGCGCTGTGTCTCAGCGTCCACGGGGACGAAATGGGCACCCCTTTAGGTTCTCGGTACTGCTCGTGTAAAGAGGGTAGATACAACGAACCCATTATCGTGATATGCGTGGCCACATAAGTGAGGTTCGACAGGTACCTACCTAAGTTCTCTACGCGCCCATGAAAACACCACCATCTCAAGACCTTAGTACCCAAGCCTTCCACACCACTTCCTCAAACACTCTCCCAACAACTCAAACCCCGCCAAGCACCAGGCACCACGTATCAAAGATACCCAAGCAGCATTGTTGTTAAACTCTCTGTATCTCTGTATTGCTTGCCGCATCCGTCCCCCCCTCCACCTTCGTCCTTGAACCGCAGATCTTGACTGCATCTCAACAGGCGACCCTCGGGCTTGATATAATTTCACGGTCTACGCAGCACAAGAATATACTTCAAACTTTGTATTGAATCACTGTATTCATCCCTGGAATTATCATGCTCTCTGATAAAGACGCCTAGTCCCCCCCCTCTCTCTCTAATCCAGTACGATCCCGACTCCCTACGCCATACACCAATAACAAACTCCCATCCCAAAGCTCATAACAATCGTAGCCTCCTTAGCCTCCTCATTCCCTGTCAAAGCGTCGGACGTCATGTCATCTAGGCAGCAGCCGCAACCATTTGGTTCGGCGTTGGGTTCTTGGCAAGGTCATCTGCCTCGCAAGTGCCAACGGTAGGATTAACCCAATAAGGCGCATCGTGAATGATGGGTTGGGCCTTCTTAGCGCCCGGCACGGCACTCGCCGCAGAAGCCCAATTGAAGTACTTGTGGCATCCGATGCAGTACATGCTATCGCAGCCTCCGTCCTTCTCAATCACAAGCTGGCAATTGGGGCAGCGCTTGCCGTCCTTGGTCTGCATGAGCTTCAGTGTGTCTTTTTCAAGATCGCTCATTTGCTCGTTGACGTGCTGGGCTGAGTACTCGGCACACGTGAGGTCCTTGTGCCATGGAACATGGCACTGAGCACAAGATCGCACGGCACACTCGTGGCACGTTACCTGGGGGAAGCCGGGCGCAGTAATGTCTGGCAGGCCAATGGCGGAGCAGGTGGGAGAGATGCACTTGATGGGTTTGGGGGTTGCGTCTTCCATCCACACGTTGAACATTTCCATGTTGAACTTCTCGAGGGGCTCGCCGCGGGGCATGTACCGCATGATGAAGT